AAGAAAAATTCTCCAGCTAGTGACTGTTTGAAAGTTCTTTGGAACAGAGCAACACAGAGATGATCCCCGTAAAAAAAAATCCCTTTGTCCCCCTCCCCTTAAAAACCAGGAATTTGCCCCGGATTGCATTTCAAGCGTAATTGATGGGGCTTGGAGCAGGGCTGGAAAGTGTTACTCGTTGCTCTCGGGCCCTGGGCTTGTTTGCAGACGTGTGAATGGGAGAGGGAGGCGCTGAATGGACTTGGGATTGGAGGCGAGCCAGGGAGCAGGAGGGGGGCGGGGTGGAGGGGAAGGAGCAGGGCCGGGGAGCTCAGACAACCCGGCGCCAGCAAACACCTGCAAGCAGCTAACAGGAACACAATGGCAAACACAGGTGGGGGAGTGCTGTCGTCCCCAGCCGCTCCCCTCTGTTAATCACATCTGATTGCATCAGTTTCCAGGCCCTGCCAAGACCCACCACCAGCAGCAGGAATAGCCGCTGTTGTAGCCAGGCTGGGGTTATTCTCTGTGTCAGGAGTTTGCTAATTTAAAGCAACTTTGCATTACATCCCCCCCCCCCTGCAACACAAAGGGGAGTTAAAAAGGGGGGGGGAGGCTAGAGCCAAGCCGCGCTTCACAGCCCAGATGGGCCCGGTGAGTGGGTTTTGCCCAGCCCCAGCGCCTAGGGAAATGCAATGGGGGGGCAAAATGCCAGGCCAGATAAAGTCCAGGGCCTGATTCTGCTCCCGTGCTGGCGTAAATCCGGAGCAGCGCTATTGTTGTCCAGTCGGGCCCAGCGTAAGGGAGCGTAGGATCATGGCTCAGCGTTTCTGCCATACCAGGGTCCAGGATTTTTTTTTTTTAAACGCGGAGTCCCCTGGTGTGTGCTAAGCCCCCCTCTCCTGAGGCGCGTGTGGGGCAGAGAGGAGCCACGAGGGACTGGGGAGTCGAACCGCTTGTTTTCCCATCGCCCAGTCCAAGGACGCAAATCAAAGCTGCACATGGCTGGAAAGATTTTCCATTTGTTCCGGGAAACTTTCTGGAGTCCCGATGACACAGAGGAAGAAGAGAGACAGGCTTCTGCCCTGGGACACTTAAGAGTACTTTGCAGAGGATGAAGCAGGCTCCATTCCAAAGGTTTGCTCTTCTGACCCAAGTACTGAGCCATAGGGATCCAACACCCCTGGCTGGGATCGGTTAGGAGCCAAAAAAGGGTGACGCCCCGGCCGCAGATTGGAGTTCAATCTACCCCAGCAGTGGGGTGGTATCACGGACCTGCCGTTGCTGAGCGAATGCCGTATTGGTAACGGTCGCTTTTGCAGAATAGTCTCAGTTTCATCACCCTAACAATCTTGCATTCGTATAGGGGATCTTTTTAAATATGGCGGAGAGGCCGTTTCACCTACCGCTGAAATGCAGCCAACTCTGGAGTGGAGCATGGTCGCTGTTTAACAGCGCGACACAACAGGAAGTGAACAGGTGTGCTGTATCCAACTGAAAAAAACAGCAGGAGGGAACGTTGTTCTTAACCAAACTGGAATTTGGCCCCATTCTGGGGAGATCACCACAACTCTTGCGAAAGGAGCCTTGTGGTTTTGGAAAGACCCTCTGCGGTCAGGCCCTTGGTTTGATGTCTCACTGTATCCTCTGTGACCAGGCTGGGGCCCTTGGGCCGATCATTTTTCAGAGGGAAGAGTAACCTCTTCTCAGCCATTGTCTGCTGCTGGATTGGGTTTTATCTCAGCCCACCAATATTGCTTAAGCTTATGAGATCTGACGAGATCACGGCCGGGGGCGGTACCAGTGCGGGAGCCAATAATTGTCATTTATGCCCCGTTTGATACAAAGGAAAGAAGTGTCTCCTCAGACAGCCTTTCCCACCCCCACAGTAGGCACAGGGAGTGGCTAGGGGTGTTTATAAAGCACACAATCGCTGGGTTGTTTATCTCTGCGCAATCCTTCTGATTAAACACCTGGGCCCAAGGCTACATGGCTCTCCTCAATTCTAAGCAGTTCAGTCTCGGCAAGCCTGGATTTCCAAGCTCAAGAATAATTCTGGCTCCTTTCATGGGGGATCTCAAAGCACTTTTCAAGTACTAACGAGTATCACAACCGCCGGGTTGCGCTGGTGGCGTTAGCCCCCTTTAACACGTGGGGAAACTGAGGCACAGAAGTGGCCTGGCATGCCTGGAGACACCTATTAAGAATGGATTTTTGGGTGAGCTAGAGAAATGACCCATTGTTGAGCGGTGGGCAGCACGCCCGCCCCCTTCACCCGGTGTTCAAAGTGGTTGGGCTGCTACTGCGGACGGGCCCCAGTTGTTTTGGGTGCAAACGCCAGGTGATCAGAGGTCCCTTTCCTTCTGCCCTCCATGCCGAAAACGCAGCTCGGACTGCGTCGCTGCTGTCGGGGCCCCAAGAGACCCTGGGGTTACTGGATAGCGGCTCACGGGAGCTCCCGGATCAGGTCCCCATTGTGTAGCCACGTAGGAATAGCACCCCCAGTCTCCGCCCCAGAGGGCTTACAATATAACATGGGCTCACGCTCTGTTGTGTTTATAGTGATTTCTGCCCTCCTGATTCTTTTTGGTTACAGATATACACGCACACGGTGCTTGCACATGGACGTCCCTCCCTAGATCAAAGGTTGTTACTGGGTGGACTTGCCAGCCACTCAGGATAATTAAACTGGATTCTTTAGTCAGGCAAACTCAAATGCTGTCATCATGTCTTTCTCCTCCCTTCCCACTTTTGGGGGCCATATAGTCTTGGCAGGTATGTACTGCATCCACTCACCTCTCTATTCTATTATTATTTGATCCAAACCCCAGACATTTTAAGGCTCGGAAAGGTAATTTGTCCCCTTGCAGCAGCTTTTGCCTTCTGGCCAGAACAGGCGCAAGGGCTGAGATGTAATAATTACCTCTGATCAGCCACCTTGCTCAAAGCAATTTACAGAGGGAGGCGAGTATCATGACAGTATTCTGATTTTTGCAGATGGGGAAACTGAGGCAGGTAGGGGTGGGGAAAGCGATTTGCCCAAGGCAAGTGGAAGAGGGGGGGAATGGAACCCAGGTCTCTCAACTCGCAGGCCTGTGCCCCACCCACTAGACCACACTGCCTTTCAATACAGCCAGGTATGGAGGAAAAGGGTGGTCTTTTCCTGGCCCTGCCCCTCTGTTGGTTCCTGTAATTCACCCTTCTGACCCTGTCACCGTGGCCTCCCCCTACCGTTGCTAGACCCCACCTTAATGAGGAGCATCCCTGACTCACCAGCTGTCAAGCCCCCTTGCTACACTTGCCTCCATGTGCCATGCAGGCTACAGATTTCTTCCCCGGTCTCCTACGCGCTGTAGTGCACGGCGTGTGTGGCCCTGGCTGTTTCCATCACGTGCGGCCCACGATCCATGCACAGCCGGGCCCCCGTGTGCGATGCTGGGCCAGAGCTGACAACGTGCACAGTCACTGGCCTCCTGGATGTTTCCTCTGTAACTCTAGATGAGAGCGAGTTTGAGCCCCTTGTGAATTATTCCTGGGAGCAGGGAGCGTCCTCGCTCTGCCTGGGGTTACGGGCTAGTGAGCTGGTCCCGTCTCGCCCCCGGATCCCGTTTCCTAGCTCAGCAAGGCAGGAAACGCCAAGCTGGGCTTGGGCCACGGTCAGCCGGGGGCCTCGAGTGGATCCCAGGAGACGGCTGACTCGCCATTCTGTGCACATCCACCAGCTCTGAGCGGGGCTGGGGCGAGGGGGGTGATGGTTTCCATCCACTTGGCGCGGACACTTAGCCAGAGCTGGCCCCCTAGACGGCATCCAGGGCAGCCCACCTGCCTGCTTTATTCGTTCGGTAGGATTACAAATCCTTTGCGCCTGCACCTTCCACCTGAAGATCTCAATGCACCCAGCAGACGATTTGGGTGGCGTTGCCAGGTGGGCACCCCATGAACGTCAGCTGGAGATGTGGGGGCTCAGCACCTTTGAAAGTCAGGCTTGTCGTCCGCGTAAGCACCTTGGGGGGGGTGAGAATGGGGAAACTGAGGCGCAGAAAGGCAAAGTAACTTGCCCAAGGTCGCACACAACAGGACAGGGACAGAGGAGCGCATAGAACCCAGGAGTTCTGGCTCTCAGTTCCCCACGCTCCACTCTGGTCCCCTAGCCTGTCGCTTTGCCCACAGCATACACCCACCTGCCGCTCACTGTTAGCATCACTGTCCGTGTCGTTCGTTCGCCTGCCCTTGGCTCCCTCGAGACGTCTCCGCCACCCCAGCAGGCAGAGCGGGGTGACAGGAGCCATGGGCAAAAGCACGGAGCAGATCGATCCACGCTCAGTGACTCTCGTCCCTTCCCTCTCCCCATCGCCTGAGGCCAGGCTAGGAGAACTGCGCTTCTGGGGCAGCCGCAGCCCCTCTGTAGGCTCCTCCGCAGGGCTCAGCATTCACCTCCGGCATGCTGGAGAGGAGCCTGCCGCTATACTGGCCAGCCCTGGTGGGGAGGGAGCAGGACTGGGGAGAGCTTGGCCGTGCCCAGGTGCGCTGATCCCGGCTAGTGGCTCTGCTGTGAGGAGACAGCATTTTATGCCTCATTGCTGCTCCCCTGACTTCATCCCCCCCCCCCGTCTGCTTCCCGCTAGCCTCCCTGGGCCCACCCACCCTGCCCCACTGCAAAACCTCTCCGACTCTGTCAAACCCCAGCCCTGCCCCCACCCATCCAGATTTACTTCCAAGCTGTCACTAAATTGCTGCTCAGCCTCCGTACATCCCTGCCCCTCCATGTGCCTCAGTTTCCCCCTCTCAAGTACTTCCCTGCCTGCCACGGGGCGGGGGGTTGCCAAGCTCCGCTCCTTACTATGCATAAAGTGCTTTGAGATCCGAAGTACCAGGAGCTCGGAGGAGGAGTCTCTGTTTGGGCCCAGCTCTGATATGGATCAAGGGTAAAAAGCTGCTGCCTCCACAGGTCAATGGGTCCCTGCTGCCGTAGGTGGGGAATATCTGCAGGGCTCCGCAGCGGGGTAAAGGCTCTGCTAAGGGTGCTCTCCCTGCTTTCCTGCACTCCCATCATTGGCTTGATGTATCCCCCTAGAGTGTAAGATCTTTGGGGCAGGGACCGTCTTTCTGCCACGTGTCTGTACAACTTCCCAGCATCACGGGCCCTGATCCCGCTATCCCCAGCATTGCCAGCTCTTGTGATTTTTTTTCCCCCTCTGCGAGACTCTCGATAGTTGCTCTTTTGATTAAAACCTTAGTTCCCGGATGCAAAGTTACGACACCGCCAGGAACTGCCTCCTGTGCCGTCCTCTAGCTGCCACAGATCTACTGCCGTCGATATCCGCCACCTGTATCAATCTTGTAACCACGGTTACGTGGGCAAAGACAATTAATTGCCCCTTCAGTATGCAGCTGCGGGTCTTGTTAACGCAGCCGCGGCAGGGGAGGAATTAGATATAATTATATGCCTGGGTGGCGTCCCAGCTGCAGTGGGGGGGGGGGGGGACCTGCCGGAGCTAGCAGTCTGTCGGCATTTCCCGGCTTGTCGGGGATCAAACGTTGTCTGAAACATCTTTACCCTGGGCTGAAACTGGGGCAGCGTGGCTGTGTGGGGAGACCGGCTTCCTGGGGGAGCTGCAGCCACACCCGGGGGAGGCACAAGCTCGGACCAGGGGGCAGAGCAGTGAGTGGAAAGGATATTGGGTAGGTTTGGCCAACCCAAAATCTACCAGAGCCTGACCCAAAGCACTTGGGAGTGAATAAGGATCATTCCATTGACCTGCATGGAGCAGGCCCATACGGAGGAGTTGAGACTTGGGGATGGGGGTTCCCTTGTTGTTTGAGTCGGTTTAGGGCAGGTGAAAGGAGCTGGTTTGAAACCCCCCTGGCCCACGGCCTTTGTGATTCCACAGCTTAGGTTAGACAAGAGCTAGTGTGACTCAGCCCTGCCCTCTAGAGGGGAGAGGAAGGAGTTCGATCGCCAAACCCGTTCAGGCCATCTGCTGGGACTGCCAACAGGCCGGCAAAATCGATGCTAACGATGTGGATGTCGTGTCTACTGGGATCCCGACTGAGACCCACCAAACTCATTTCACACAGGCCGCCGATCCATCAGCAAAGAGCGAAATCTTTCCTTGGGTTGGCTTTGACTCAGTGATCAGGTAAGGAAAGATCTTTGTCGCTAATTTCCTGAGCCATCTTCCAATCTCTATGCATCCAATAGGCAATTCCTGGCTGGCTGAGACTAACGGGAAAATGACCCCAGCATCAAAAGACATTGATGGCCTTTCTCCATCCAAAGGCTTAAAATGTGTCATGGTCTCTTCGTTATAGACCAATCATACTTTAGAGAGGGGACGACCCTGATCCCGAAAGCCCTGTTATTTGTACCAGCGTAAATGCGACTCCTTTGCCCAATCGAGATTGCTATGCAAAAATCTGTGCACGTGTCCAATGAAGCCAGTTCTCTCACGCCAGTGGGAGCTGGCTTGTATTGGGTATAGTGAGTTCGGGCCACAGCACAAGACAAAAACCATCTGCAGTGCCAGAATTCCACTAGGGGGCAGTAAAGGAGAGCATAAAGCAGCCGATTTATGCTCTCCTTTACTGCCCCCTAGTGGAATTCTGGCTTGATACGGAATGTATTTTTTAAACAAATATATAATTGATAAAGGACCATCTTTTCTAACTGATGTGGCTGGAAATAATTGTGGATAGGGAACTATTTGGAAGGGGTTTATCGAGTCAGGACAGATTTGCCTTTTCTTTCCTCATCTCTTCCCTGCGGTGGTGTTGGGAGGCCGGAACCTGAATAAGGGAAAATAAATGATGACAGCAGGACCCAACAGAGAACAGCATCCCAGTGTGCCAGGCGCTGTACATGTGCATAGCAAGAGACGAGACCGATAAAGGAAGGATCGTGATCTCCGTTTTATAGACTGGGAACTGTGGCATATAGAGATAAGCAACTTGTCTCAGGTCACGCATAGTCTGTGGCAGAGCCAGGAAATGAGCCCAGGTCCCTGGCAGTTGTCTAACCATGAGATCTTCCTTCCCATTTGGGCAAAATATGGCTTTGTGCCGTGCTGATGGGAAAAGTGCTTTCAAAGTTGGTTATGTGAGGAATAACAAGGCTGCTCTTTCTCACTGTACTGCTGAAGGACTCATTGGAAGAGTCAGAGATGTGTGTTGGTGGTTCTTTCCTGCCCGTAATTGTAGGGATGGGGATTATTTTTTAACAAAAGCCTGTTCCTTCCAACTCTTTGGCAGGTGTTTGAGTGAACTGGATGCAGAGCAAAACACTCTGATTTCATCCAGACAAGCCCTTCCCCCGCTCGGCTAATCACGGTTCACATCCTGGGAATCTATGATGTCACAAGTCTAATAGTTCTCCAGTCCTGTATGGAGTGTTCCTGGAAGAAGTAAGGGGCAGTGTGGGAGGGTATCAGGGAGCTGGGCGTGTGAGAAAAGGGTGCCCACTCCTCCCTATCCTCAGGCTCATCCCTCCCTTTCTCTGGCCTCTGGGGATTTGACTCTCCATGCAGGCGGTGGCTGGTTCTAGGACTCATACAGAGGGGGCTCACTGGAGCATAAGAACGGCCATACTGGGTCAGACCAATGATCCATCTATCCCATCTCCTGACACTGGCCAGTGCCAGATGCTTGAGAGGGAAAGAAGAGAACAGGGCAATTATTGGAGTGATCCATCTCCTGTTGTCCAGTTCCAGCTTTGGACTGTTAGCAGTTTAGGGACACCCAAAGCATGGGGTTTGTGTCCCTGACCATCTTGGCTAATAGCCATGGAGGGATCTATCCTCCATGAACTTCGCTCATTCTTTTTTTGAACCCAGTTGGCCTTCACAACTTCTGGCCTTCACACCATCCTCTGGCAATGAGTTCCACAGGTTGACTGTACGTTGTGTGAAGAAGTGCTTCCTTATGTTTGTTTTAAAGCTGCTGCCTATTCATTTCATTGGGTGACCCTTGGTTCTTGTGTTATGGGAAGGGGTAAATAACACTTCCCTGGGCACTTTCTCTGCACCATCTGGAGTGAGGAGGGCAGGAGCCACGCGCCCCCCATGTAGTGACTTAACTGAATCTAGGACTTTTTGCTTCTAAAAGGTTGAGCTTCTACAAATGAGGTCCAGGACCCATCTCTGTTAGCCAGGCTGTAGCAGGCTCATCCACCTCTGTCTCTGCCCTCCTGGCCACTAGAGGGAGACAGAGCGCCACATTGAGTGGGTGTGGCTTACACCAGCCTATGACTGGCTGGGGGCGGGTGGTCTCTGAGATACATATGGGATCCTGAGGTCGGTGTCACCAGCTTAGTTGAAAGGGGGCTGCTGGCGATGGCAGGCACTGGACGGGGACATGGGACAGGCCCTTTGCATAGAGATGAGGTCACTCCAAGCATTTTGTGGCCCTTGGGCAAAGGATGCTACAAAATGCATCTCATCACATTGACTTGGTCACTAAGCATTTTATTGCACAGCCTGGGAGCCCAGGCATGGACCAGCCAGCACCCCATTGTGCTAGATCGCAAATTCCCTGGGGCAGAGGATGCCCCTTGCTCTGTGTCTGTACAGCTCCCAGGACAATGGGGCTGGGTTAGAATCATAGAATCTCAGGGTTGGAAGGGACCTCAGGAGGTATCTAGTCCAACCCCCTGCTCAGAGCAGGACCAATCCCCAGACAGATTTTTGACCCCAGATCCCTAAATGGCCTCCTCAAGGATTGAACTCACAACCCTGGGTTTAGCAGGCCAATGCTCAAACCACTGAGCTATCCCTCCCTGCCCGAGCCAGGCCTCTAGGTAGGGTTACCAGATAGCTACTGTGAAAAAACGGGACGGGGGTGGGGGGTAACAGGCGCCTATATAAGAAAAAGTCCTAAAAAACTGTCCCTTTAAAAACGGGAGATCTCGATCTCGTCACCCTATCTCTCTAGGCAATAATCACTAGTCTCCAAATGAGAAAACCACAAGAGAGCAGGCTTGCTGTGGCACTGAGGAATAGTCAGGTGGCCACTAGAGGGCAGCCTCACTTGCTCTCTTATTCACGCCAAACCGGCATGTTACCGTGAGCGAGGGAAATGGAGCAGGAATGAGTGCAGAAGCATGGCCATGATCCATCAGGGCTTGGTGGGCACCCCCCGAAGCTGCTGCTCGCGGCCTCGCGCCCATTGATGTTGTAGATTGTGAAAAGGGAGGGTGCTGGCAGGTGGCCGGCTCTGTAGCTCAGGGCTCGGCCCTGAGGGCAGGGGAGGGCTGCGGGGCTGAGGTGACTGAGTAAATACATCGGGCGGAGTATTTAGTTAGCAGTAGAGTAGCTGTCCCCGCTCAGGGCCAGTGCTACCATTTAGGCAAACTAGGCGGTTGCCTAGGGCGCCAAGATTTGGGGGTGCCAAAAAGCGGTGCCCCCAATTTTTTTTTTACAGCATTCCTACACCCCCTCCCTGAGCGCGCGGTCGCCGCTCCACTTCTCCCGCCGCCCAGGCTTGCAGCGCCAATCAGCTGTTTGGCACCGCAAGCCTGGGAGGGGAGGAGAATTAGAGCGGGGGCGGCGTGCTCGGGGAGGAGGCGGAGCAGAGGTGAGCTGGGGTGGGGAGCTGCCGCATGGCTCCCCGGGTGGGGAGCTGCTGCGTGGGGGGGGGGACCCCCGATTTCCTTTGGCTGGGGAGTCTCCGTTCTCTCTTACCCACTCAGCACATGAGCCAGTGCCACCAGGGGTCAAGTTCTTGGCAGACTCCCCTGCGCTTCACCATCCAGGACCAGACTCTTCGTCGGCCAGGTCGGAGCGCCGTTTTGCCCGGCCGCAACTCTGTCTGGATGGAAGGTGGCGGGGCCAAATCGGAGGGGCATTGTCAGCCCATGCACCAGGTCGCAAGACCACTCACCGCAGTGTGGCCTGGTCACCCTCCACCTGTACGGAGGGGAGGACGGGTGACATTCCAGTGGCATTGGGCCCATGCACACAGAGCAATTCTCTGGATTACTCTGGCAGCAGCTGGACGGAGTTACTACGGGAGCACGGCTGAAAAGTGGTTGGAGCAGGGCCTCCCCCAGCTCCATGGCCAATGGAACTTTGAGCAAGTGTAAAGACCGGGGCGGGGGGGGGAAGAGGGGACATTTGTTCCCCTTAATTGGCACAACTACCCCCCACCTTCCCCTCCCTCTGCTGTTCCGTGGTGAACGCACTGGAAAAGAACTAGATAAGGTAATAACCCAGCGCGAGTGGGTCTCTATGCAGTCCCCTCTTTCCACCATGGCCGGGATGAGAACTGGCCGTGCCCCATTCCTCAGCCTTCCGCTGGCCTCTGGTGGGACAAAAGTGCAATTGCAGGGCGTGATTACGGGCAGAACAATGAAAATGGAGGAAAATGACCTACTGGTAGAGGTTCGACCACCCCAAGGGGACCGGGTCCTGGCAGGGGTGTTGGAACAATTTGTATAGGGGGGGTGCTGATTCAGAGCCATTGAACCAAACTGTAAACCATGTATATAATGGAAACCACTTCAAGCCAGGGGGTGTGGTAGCACCCCTAGTTCCAGCACCTATGGGTCCTGGGAGCGGAGTCTATGAACTGGAGGTCTAGTCGGGCATGGAGTGAGGCGTGGATGCTGGTAGACCTGGAGGGGAGCAGGTTGGAGGGGGCTGGGTCAGCAGTTGAACCATCCTGGTATTCCTTGAGCCACATCTCTGGCCAGGCGTGAGGAATCTGGCACGGTCCCATCCTAAAGGGGCAGGACCGCGGGCCCCAGCCCTTCTGTGGGGACCTCGTCAGTATGCTAAAGTGCCAAGTTTGGGGAAGCCACCCATGTGCCACTGAATGCAAATTATGTCAGGAGACGATTTGCATATTTGCATATGACCCGTAACTTTATTATGATTATGTTTTGAATGGTGTGGGTTTATTGCTGGTGAAGTGCATTAGCTGACAGCTCTGGCGGGGGCACCCTCCCCTGTCACCCATTACCCCCTTCTCAGATCATTGTCAGACCCTGTCCTATGTGTCGTCCACTGAGTCTCCACCAGTCCCCCCACTCAGTCCCACACGCCTCTGTCCCCTGTTCATTCCCCCCCCGACCTCCCCTCCCTCCGTTCTGTCTCCCCATCAGCCTCCATCCCTTTCATTCACCAGAAGGCAAATCAGAAGAACCCCAATTATTATTTAAATAAAACTCCTGATTTTTAAGCCAATCTCATGATTTTTTTTGGAGGGGGGAACATGACTCATGGTTTTTGGATGCTTGGGGTTGGTGTTCATAAAACCAGGTAGAAGGAACAAAATCCTCCCTAATCACCTTGTATAATCCCATCCTAGAGCCGCCTCCTTCTAGACCCTTGTAAATATCTTAGGAAATGTGTGATGTTGCATGAAACAATAGCCAGAAAAGTTACTCATGGCAGGAGAAGGATGGCCCAGTGGTCTAGGACTTGGAGACCTGAGTTCAAGTCCCTGTTGTACCACAGACTTCTTGTGTGACCTCGGGCAAGTCACTTAGCTGCTCCGTGCCTCAGTTTCCCCATCTCTACAATGGGGATAACAGCACCGCCCTACCTCCCAGGGCGCTGTGAGAATAAATACGTTACAGATTGTGAGGTGCTCCGATACTAGGGTAATGGCAGTAATACCTGGCAAGTTTCCCTTGTTTCAGTGGAGCAAATAAAAACCGGCATTGACAGCGATTCAGGCTTGGGCCTCATTCTACCTGGTGTTAATATCCAAAGCAGCAGCATTTCTTACGGCCATGTCCACACACACACACACGCTGAGATCATTCTAGTGGTACGTCCCCTAGTGTGGACGCAGTCACGCTGGCATAAATGTGCTTATCCCAGAATCGCTATTCCTGGGCGGGAAGGGGGCTAAGCTGTACTGTCCTGAGGTGTCTTTATACCAGTGTAAACTCCACCCTAGGCCCTGGTAATTCCTGCTCTAACTAGAACAGAAAAAGTCCCATCCCCTAACCGACAAAGTTATACCGGTCCACCCGTATGAAGTGCGGGCCTAAAATGCAGAGAGCAGTGCTAAAGTCTGCGGCCTCCAAGGAACCTAATTCTTCTCTCCTTTACTCTGGGGTCAATCAGGAGTGACTCCACTTGAGTCACTGAAGTTACTTTGGTTTAAAAGGCGGGGGATGAGACCAGATTCCGGCTCCCCCTGCCCAGCTCCCCTCTTCTCCAGACCTGCTCCTGGTTTCTGGCTCTTTTTTCCGGCTCTCTCTTTCTCTCTCCATCCCCAGCGTCTGACCGCTCTCCCTAGCCGGTTTGCTCCTCTCTCCCCTGCCGTGATGTGAGGGAGTGGTGACCGCAGAGAGAGCAGGCCGATGATGACATGCTCGGCAGGAGGCTTTCATTGGGTTAGAACTGTGATGTCATAATGCCGGTGGCTGACATCAGGCAAGGAGGTGCAACTCCGAGGCGCTATGCTGGAGCTGAAATGGCTGCTTATCAGGGGTCCCGCCTGGTGAGAGAAAGGGGCTGGTGCCCTCAGCCTGAGGGACAGAGGGGTTTGCAGTCCGTCCCCCTTGGGGACCAGCACTTTGCCCTCACCCCCCATACCATCCCTCTTGTGCCTGGGACCACAGAGGCCCTGCTCCTCCAGATGTGTCTTCTTCCTGCACATTACAGATGTGCACAGCTGGAAGCCCATGCTGGACCCCGCCTCGCTGCCCCCCCTGCCCTCTGGCCTGTCCCCCAGTGCATGGGAAGCCCATGATGGGGTGGGTGTGTAACCCCTGGCAAGCTAGGATGGGCTTGTGGGCGTGAAGGATGACTGGGGCCCAAAGATGGGGTGAGGGTAAGCTGGGGGTGAGGGAAGGGCGTGTGTGACCACATGTCTCCTACCAGTGGAGGCGCCACACCATGCACAAGGAGAAGGAAGCCAAGAACGCAGAGGTGAAGATCAACTGCAGAGACATCATATGCGTCCAGGTACGCGCTGCCCCCTTCCCCTGCGGGACACTGCCTGTGGCTGCCAGGCGGTTTTCTCGGGGCTGGATCCAAAGCCCGCTGCACTGGATTGGGCCCACAGACGTGCGGGAGAGCAGGACTGGGAGATGGGGAGCAGCGAGAGCAGGCCATGTTAAGTGGCTCTGACAGCTCATGGTGATGGTTAATCATCTGTGTCTCTAGCCCCTTTTGCCTGCAGAGCTCCAACCCCCGATAGAGGTGGGACACCACCATTTTACAGATGGGGAAACTGAGGTCCAGTGGAGGGAAAGTGACTTGGCCGAGGTCACTTAGCACATCAGTTGCAGAGCTGGGAATGGAACCCAGGATTCCCAGCATCTGGGCCCTGCTCTAACCCCTACACCAGACTGCCTCCCGTTTCAGTGCTCGATGTTGGCAACAAGTTGAGCATCTCCATAGTTTACAAGGGCTGGGATGTGCCAAGGAGCTTGTTTGCGGGAGAAGACACTGTCCTTGGGTGCATCCGGGCCTTTATCCTGATCCTTTTCTCTTTAGAAGAGCGTCCTGTATTGGCACTGGCAAAGGGAGCTCACTCACCATGTGGGGCTACATCTTCACGTGCCCACAGCTGGAGCCAGGTTTTCAAAGGAGCTCAGCACCTAACATACTGGGCTCTTTGGGGAACCGGGCCATTGCCTTCCTGCTGTGACGTGAGGCCCCAGGATGAGACGCTGTCTGTGGGGATTGAACCCAGAACCTCTGGCTCGCAGCCCCTAGTGCCTGAGCAAACAGAGGCAGCTCCATTGAATGACACGCTATAGCCTGTATGTGGTCCAGCAACTTGAGGGCAGAGAAGAACCACAGTGTGTCAGCCCGGGGGTTATACTGTGCTGAGCTGGTGGGAGAAACTTAGCGAACGGTATTCCATTGGCACATGCAAGTCTGTCCACACTGGGGCAGTTTTGCTGGAGTTTCAGACCAGAAGAAAACTGGGGGAGGTGAAGGAGGTGGGGCGGGGTGGGGGAGGTTCAGACCTTTTATGAAAAAAGCGTTTCAATTTGTTGTTTGGAAACGAATTTTCATTTTTTGTATCATATTACTATAACGTGGTGAGGCGTCATCCCTGAACTAGTGCCTGATTGAGCCTCATGTGGTGATGAGTCAGTCCTGTGCGAGGCTCCAGCGAATCCGCAAGCCAGGAGCTGGTCAGGTGACTCTCAGGGCAGGTATATAAGCCTCACAGGAGAGCGAGTTGCCCAGTCTGGCCAACGTCACTGTGTGGTGAGGAACTGTCCCCTGCCTGATAGTGGTGAGGGACTCCACAGGCCTCAGCCTGCTCTGGCACCAGCTCCAGCCTCGTTCCCAGTCCTACCCTTGCGCCAATCCATCTCCCAGCCTTACTCTTGCCTTATTCTGACCCCACTTTTGACTCTTGGTTCTGACCTCTGGCTCCAGTTCCCAGACCGACTACCAACGCACCAACCAGTAGGCCCATCTTTCACTGCTCCGACCGCTAAGCCTTGTCCCGCCACGTCTTGGTTTCTGACAAGGAGAGTTCTGCAATACAACATTTTAAAAAGGTTGACATTGAAACAACAATGTTTTGATCGACCCAAAATGATTTTTCTTTTAATGGGGATTTTTCCCTTGTGGAGAATTTTGAAATTTTCAGGTTCCGTTGCTATTAGAAACCCTTGGTGAAATGGAATTTCCCTCCTCCACACACCCCTTTGCTCCCCACTTGCAACACAATAGAAAAGTGGAGGAGCTCAGAACTGGGGCTGGAATTTTTTTCCTGTAGACGGCTGTCTCGGCCCACTTCCACTCTGGCGGTGACGCAGCTCTCTGTTTTCTCCCTAGGATAACTGGGACGTGGAGGAGTTTGTCTCAAAGGTGTGCATGGGCAGGTTTCTCAACCATCCCGCCTTTAAAATCACGCTGGCCGCGCTCATCATCGGCAACGCGCTCATCATCGCTAGCCGGACCGAGACGAAGGTCGAAGAGGTACGTTGGCAATGTCTGAATCGGTCCCACATGCAGCAAACTCCGAGCAAAGGGAAAGCCACAAGTTCAGACTCCGCAACCTCGGGACTGAGATCAGGGCCCCGTTGCACTAGGCGCTGGACGTACACGTCGTGAGAGCTGCTGCCCTAAAGAGCTATTTTCATTTCCACGCTTCCGCTCCCCTTTTTCCTTTTCTCCTATTCTTCTCCCCATGCTGGTTCTATTTAGTGCTTTGCTAAAGACCGTATGGGCCAGGCCAATTAGAGAGAGAAAAGACCCAGTGAGCCAATCCTTGCTCAGAAGGGGGCGAGAGGGTAAAGGCAGATCAGAGGTCCCTTAATCCTGGGATGGCTGGGTGCAAATCAGTGCCTCAGTTTCAGGCTACTTAAGATGAAGTCAGCAGTTAACAGCCCAATACAGCTGCCTGACTCTGTCCTCTTTCCCCTGGCAGCCTGGAGGGGGTGAGTGTAAAAGCTGCCACGCTGGCTCTATGCCACAAGCGGATCTCCCCACAGGGGTGTGATTTACCCATGCCAGCTGTGTGGCACCAGAGGATCTGGGCCCCATGAGTTCATTCCCCAGCTAGTGCAGGATTGTTTCCTCCCAGTCATTGTCTCATGCATTACGCTTGTTGCTTTCCAAATTCCCGAGCGATACGGCTCCCATTCGTTCATTAGTCTGGAAGCAGCGGTCGCTGTCCCCCAGTTAAGGCTGAGTGAGTTTTGCACTTCAAGCAAGGCCTCTGTGATGTAGGGAGAATGCAGCGTGTTCTCCCCACTCCCTCTTTGCAGGGCCGGCTCCAGGCACCAGCTGAGCAAGCTGGTGCGTGGGGCGGCAGATTGTTCGAGGCGGCGTTCTGCCCAATCCTAGGGCGGCACGGACACTTTTTTTTGTTGTTGTTCCGCTCCGGCCGCCCTGTAGAGGGTGGCAGCGCGGAGAACCAGAGCGCCCTGCAGGGCAGTCCTCTTCCTCCCCTCCCCGCCGACCGGAGCAGAGCCCTCGCGGCAGGCGGCAGGAGGCGGTGCGGCGGGAGGGGCCGCGTGGCAGCGCCCGTGCTGTAGCCCTGGCCGCCCCCTTCTCTCTCTCTCCCGCCCGCTCCCTCCCCCTCTCCCCCCGCACCCGTGCTCCAGCCGCGCCGCAAGTTGTTTTTTTTTTCTTTGCCATTCTGGCCGCCCCGTTTTTTTGTTTTTTGTTTTGCTTGGGGCGGCCAAAAAGCCAGAGCCGGCCCTGCCTCTTTGAGGACTGGATGAATTTTCTGAGCACCTGCAAGTAGATCGTTTAATTCGTTTATGAAAATATATTTGTATTGAGGCAGCACTGAGGAACCCCCAATCCAGGGTCAGGGCCCCTTGTGCTAGATGCGATACAGTCATAGAATGGAAGATGATTCCACCGCTGAGTAGATTTCACTGTGAACTTTCCCCCCACATCCTATCCTATCTCCTAGAACTGGAAGGGACCTTGAAAGGTCATCGAGTCCAGCCCCCTGCCTTCACTAGCAGGACCAAGTACTGATTTTGCCCCAGATCCCTAAGTGGCCCCCTCAAGGATTGAACTCACAACCCTGGGTTTAGCAGGCCAATGCTCAAACCACTGAGCTATCCCTCCCCCCATATTCAGTTCTAGACAAATCCATGCTAATTGTTACTTGTCACCTTATTATCTTCTAGGTGTCTGCAAATTGTTTTCTTAATTATTTGCTTCATTATCTTTCTGGTTACTGAAGTTAAGCTGACTGGTCTGTAATTCCCCAGGTTGTCCTTATTCCCCTTTTTATAGATGGACACTATATTTGTCTTTTTCCAGTCCTCTGGAATCTCACCTGACTTTCATGAATCGCTAATGGCTCAGATATCTCCTCAGTCATCTCCTTGAGTAGTCAGTTTCCTCATATCCGCATTCTTCTCTATAGGCCAAGCTCTCTCTGGCTGGACTACATCTCTCATGATGTATCATGGCCAGGCACTCCCATGATGCACTGCTTCCTCTCCCCAAGAGAGGAGACTGTGGTGCATCATGGGAGCTGTAGTCTGACCAAGGAACCTGTCCCATAGAGGAGAAATGGGAACATGAGACACTGAAACTACAACTACCATGAGGCAACATAGCAGTATTTCCAAACACAAATATTTTAGTTTTCAGCCCAAATATTTCGGCATTTGAATTTCTGCCAAAAAAAATCAAAGTTTTTCACAGAAAAAAAAAGTTGCTTTGACCCTCTTACTCGTTCTGTGATTTCTTTTCTTTTTTTAATTCATCTATTGTCTTTCCTATCCCCAGAGGTTTTTCCTCACCTGTATTTTTTTCTTGCCCCCTCCTTTTACTATTACTTTTTCTTCAGCAGACTGCAGCACTTTTCTTTGTCTCTCCATTATACCTTTTCTCCTTCTGTCCATTATCCCCACCCCTCTGTCCACGTCCCTCCTCCTAGCCCCCATTCAGCCAGCCACTTAAGCACGTAAGTAATCGCCTCCCTATTCAGCAAAGCACTTACGTGTGTGCTGAAATTTCAGTATGGGGGTAAACCCCATTGAATTCACCCACCCCTAAGCGCTTTGCTGAACTGAAACTGCCCCCTCACCTAGAGCTAGGACTGATTTTGGTTTTGATCGCAGTTGAACAGTGTGAGCAAGACACAAGCAGAGTCCCCTGGGGACATGGCTGAGTTTGTTTTTTCTTCTATTTTCTATTGTAGAAATACTACGGGTTGTTCTCTGCCATAGATAACGTTGTCTTGACTGTCCTTACCTGTGAGGTGCTTCTCAACTGGTACTATGGATTCCGGATGTACTGGAAGGTGAGCGCTAAGCACGGCCAGTTAGAGCCAATATTTCCTGGCCATTAGCCACTTTCCTGTTATTCTATTGCTCCATTCCCATTCCCAGGGTCCCATTGCAACTCTTCCAGGCCCCTCTCCAAAGCCTACAATGTTGTTCCTCCAATTGTTCCTCTTATCCAAGCTGCCCCGCCAGGCTTTGCATAGGTCTCACCGTTCCGCAACGTGCAGGGCTGGTGTAACCACTAGGTGAACTAGGCGGCCACCTAGGGTGCCAAGATTTGGGGGTGCCAAAAAGTGGTGCCCCCCAATTTTTTTTTACACTCTTGCTCCCGGCGGGGGGACGGGCTGCTCGCAGCCATGTTAGCACCTACCTCTGCGGGCGTCCTCTGCAACCGCAGGCCCCGCAGCCTCCCTCCGCCACACCCCACATCACTGCCCGCCCACGCCCCCCCTGCCAGCCCAGAGCCGCCTCCTCCCTGAGCCCCCGGGTTGCCACATCGCTCCCTAGCCTGCTCCCTCCAGCTTTGGCAGTCCCGGACCCCCTGCCGCTGCTGCCCAAAGTCTGCCGGCTGCAGTCCATGATCATTGTTAAGAGGCCAAAAATAACCAACGCCCTATATTTGATTGGATCAGGTCTATCAATCAAAGTATCCAAAGCAGGGGACGTGCTGTCCAGAGGTTAAAGCAGCCAATTGGGAATGAGGACTCCTGGGTTCAACTCTTGGCTATCAAATCACTCGGACCTTGGACAAGTTACTTTGCCTCTCTGTGACTCAGTTTCCCTGTCTGGGTCTAATAATCCTTATCTATAACAAAGGGGCTTAATTATGCTTTGGGATGAAAGGAACAATCTAAGCACTAAGTATATGCCAGATTATTACTTGATTATAATAGAGAGCATATGTTTTAGATGCTTTGCAATAAAACTAATACAGATTAAGGGCCTGCTCCTTCTCCTCTTAAAGTCAGTGGAAATGTTACCATTGATTTTCAGAGTTAAATGACTAAAAGCATACTTGACGGGCTATTCGTATCTGTGTGGAACCGTGAATAACGTCTCTGGGCCATGCCAAGGACCTTCTGGAATAGAATTGGCTTTAAAAGAAACAAAACCAGTCCAGGTTTCAAAGCTAGACACGTACTTACCTAGGGCCCAATTCTCCATGGTCCAGCACCTTGTGTAGTCGTTTGTGGAGTGCAAAGTGGGTGTGGCAGCACTATCACTCGACGTCAGTGGTGTCGCACATCCACTTGGCACTGACGTAAAGGACTCCATCAGGTGGAGGACAGCAGAGAATCCGGCTCTGCATATTTTTCATCCATCGGACCTCAGAATACTGAAAGGTGGGTAAGGAGCACTAACCTCATTTAACAACCGGGGAAACTGAGGCCCAGCGAGAGTAAGTGTCCTGTCCAACATCACGTAGTAAGACTACGACTGAGCTGGGAATAGAATGTAAAATCCTTCACATTCTTGATCTGGCGGTGAGTGGTAAAGTCAGATTTCAGAGATGTTTTTATGGGCCAGATCTTCAGCTGGTATAAGACAGAATTGTCCCATTGATTTCAATGGAGCGATGCTGATTCACACCCGCTAAGGATCTGGCCTTTCTTATTGGCAGGTTTCAAGCTGAGATGCACCCCCCCCTCCGTTCTCTCATTATTACCGTGTATTATATGTATTACGGTAGCTCCTAGAGGCCCCAATCTGGGCTCAAGGCCCCGTTGTGCGAAGTGCTGTGCAAAAATACAGTCCCTGCCCCCGGAGCTTACAGTTTCATTGGCCTGTGCTGACCAGCCCTGCTTTGAACGCTTGTCCTCTGCTTCTCAGGGTGGGGTTTTCTCTTCCGCAGGACGGTTGGAACGTCGTCAATTTTTTTATCGTGGCATATCTCTGCGTGGGGCCTTTCATCCCTGTGCTGAACAACCAAAAAATTTTCTGGGTCCTCAGGTAGGGAAAGGGCTACTTTGTCTTAAAGCTTGTCATGCTGGTATTATTTGTTGGTTGACAAGCTCTTGGTAAAACACAGATCAGGCCCCCTTCCGCGACGTGCTGCACATATTCCTAGGGTGCGTCTACACTGCAGTTAGAGCAGGGGTCTCAAACTCAATTTATCTTCGGGCCAGGGCCAGTCCTCAAATCCTCCCAGTGGGCCAATAATGTCCCTGAAGATGGTGTTCAGAAAAGACAATGTGGATATTGTATTTTTTATTTCGAATGTCTTAGAAATAATAAAACGGTCCGACAACTTTATACAATTCTTCACCTGCCAGAGAGTGTTGAGTGTTGGCCAGACACCTGGCAACGCTTCAGTTCTGTCAGTTTGTTGATGTTTGGCCTCCGTGACTGAGCAGTTGAAACCTTCAGGATTGCAGCAAGGTGTGCATCAAATAGTTGTGTTCGGTATTTTGATTTGTTTATATTCATTGTGGGGGAAAAAAGTCATGCTGCCTCCATGGCTGACTCTGCCCGGCGACTAGTGATGGTATCTCTGTCCCTCTCCCCCGACCAATCGGAGCTGCAGGGGGCGGAGCCTGCAGCAGACCTGGCTGGCAGCGGGTCTGCATGCGTCTCTCCTCCGCAGGCCGTAGTGGGGAGGTTCTCGGGCCGCAGATGGCCCACGGGCCAGGACTTTGAGACCCTTGAGTTAGAGGTATAGCTGCAGCATGTGTAGACGTACCTATTGGCTCAAAGGTGGACCCAATTGTTTGACTACACACCCGTTTTGTTCTTAAAAATGTTCAAGAGTCCAAATAGCCAAACTTAGCCGAATTTCTTGTCTCAAGAAAAACAGTACAATATGGAAAGGAGAGACACGTGCCCTCCTGCCAGAAAGCAAATCCTTGCAGGGGAGGGAGGGATAGCTCAGTGGTTTGCGCATTGGCCTGCTAAAGACAGGGTTGTGAGTTCCCTCCTTGAAGGGGCCACCTAGGGATGTGGGGCAAAATCAGTACTTGGTCCTGCTAGTGAAGGCAGGGGGCTGGACTCAATGAACTTTCAGGGTCCCTTCCAGTTCTATGAGATAGATATATCTCCATATATTTTTATTAAATGTTCACCTTCCACAGCCGGTGTGCTTCCAAGATATGCGTTTCAGCTAATAGCATTTAAAGGACGATTTTCCAAGTTACAAAACTTTTTACACGTCACTAAAATCCAACCCACCCTGTTCCTTAACTTGCCGTTCTGTACTTTCCTTCTCTTTGCTTTGGCATTGGTCTGTGAAGGTACTTCCCCAGCTCGAACCAGGCAGAACATTAAAGCATTTTGCCTTTGACAGGTTTCCTATTTTCTAATGCCAAAGCGGACTTTAGCTTTGCAAAGTGTTGCGAGATACCTGACGTGGGTGAACAGCATTGTGGGAAGAGCAGAATACTTAACCTAACTTCCCAACACTTATATTCATTCCGTGTACATAATACTTACAAACCTGGTGTATACTACGCCTAACGTACATACATCGGCTAACATACCCCAGCTGGCTTAGATCTAGCTACCTCCAGTAACAACAGCAATGATGCTGCAGCAGGGGTTCTCAAACTGGGGGTCGCCAGGTTATTACCTGGGGGGTTGCGAGCTGTCAGCCTCCACCCCAAACCCCGCTTTGACTCCAGCATTTATAATGGTGTTAAATATATAAAAAAGTGTTTTTAATTTATAAGTGGGGTCACACTCAGAGGCTTGCTGCGTGAAAGGGGTCACCAGTACAAAAGTTTGAGAACCACTGGTTTATACACTGCTACTCAGGACCTTGGAAATGTAGTCAAATGGCTAGCCCATAGTATTACCTGTGCTGTTGCCAATTCACTGCTATTGTTACTAAAAATAGCTAAATCAAAGCTAGCCCTGGTATGTCTACTATGCTGCGGTCACACCTCTGAGACAGTCCCTGCCCCCAAAAGCTTACAGTCTAAACAGACAAGTCAGACAAAAGGTGGGAAGGGAAACCGAGGCACACAGCGAGGAAGTAACTTGCCCAGAGTCGCACAGCCAGTCAGTGGCAAATTGTTTTTGAAAAATGGAAACCAGGCCAATTTGTCAGGACAGAAACTGTTTGCAAAACAGGGCTGGGTTTGGCGAATCTCCTGACTTGATAAAACTGTTGAGGAAACGTTTCAGAATTGTCCAAATGTTTCGTTTCAATGTTTTCGGAAAGAAAACGCCCAGTTTTCTGGTTCAGAACAGCATTTTGTTTCAGAATTTAAGCTCATTAGACCGAAAGAAAAGTTTAAAAAGAGAGGAAGTGGAAAGAAAAGGTTGAAATCAAAACCAATTATTTCAAAATGATTGGAAAAAAAGGTTTTGATTGACCCAATGTGGGGAAAAAAATGTTTCTTCATTTTGCAAATATTGGTGAGTTTTCAACATTTCATCCCGATTTGATATGGGACAAAGTTTGGAACTCTTGAAAATATTACCCAGAGAGGAAAAACGTTTCCTGTCCAGTTCTAGCCGAGTCCCAGTGTTGGATCCTACGCTCCCTCCAGACCAAAGTGGGTCTCTAAAAAAGAAAATGATCACGGTGTCAAAGTCAGACTCAGGACTCACAATTTGTCAGACCTCTCTGTTTATTAGCAAAAGCGCTCTGCTAATACACCCAGATAATGTGAGTGCCATGCAAGGCCCAAACTATCTTATTTATACAGATAAAACGGGCGCGAACTTAACAAGATGACAAAGGGAGCAGAACTGATACGTTCATGTGGGGCTAGACACACATATCTTATTTCCTTATTAACTCTTACCGATCTCCTGTTAATGTCCCACCATCAGCTTAAGTGGATCCATTGTTCAATACCTTAATGTTTCTCTTCCTGTCAACTTTATCTCAACATTCCTCATTCCTGTTTAAAGGAACATACAGCATTTCTTTAATCCATTTTACTTTTATGGTATAATTCATTCTACTTTCACAATGGGCACAGCAACTCCAGCACCGCACTGCAAGCCCCAGTGTCTAAAGCAAACTTGGAGTCCCCTCGTGGAAACGTTGGCCTATTGACTTGTCCAGGTCCCACAGTAAATTCGGTTGAGGCTACACTTGAAACGCTACAACGGCCCAGCTGCAATGCTTCAGCATAGCCACTTGCTACCGTGCCAGGAGGATTCATTACTGTCACTGGAATTAATCCACCTGCCTGAGGCGGTAGCTAGGTTAAGGGAAGAATTCTTCCATCGATCTAGCGCTGTCTACACCAGGGGTTAGGTCGGCTTAACTGCGTCGCTCAGGGGTGTGGATTTTTCACACCCCTGAGCGATGTAGCAGGTCGACTTAACTTTTGAGTGTCGACCGGGCCTTAGTGGCAGAGCTGGGCGTGGAATCCAGAAATCCTGGCTAGCAGATTTCTGCTCTCACGCCGGTGTGGAGCTAGGCTGTCCTTGCTGGGCTGAGCAGTGGGAGGAGCTGCTTGGAGTCTGGGAGCCCCGAAAGATTCTTCGAACGGTTTTTCTTCCAAGTCACGTGGGCCTGGCATCATCTCCCTCCTGGCGCAAGCTGCTCATGCTCCTCTGTCTCTCTCAGGGTGATGAGGCTGATGCAGGTCTGCACGCTGGTCAACGGGTTGGCCAGGATGATCCGGGTGATCCTACAGTCCATCCCAGACATGGCCAATATCATGGCCCTGCTCTTTGTCATCATGCTGGTGAGACAGTCAAGCCGTTTGGGTGGGGCCCGGTATAAAACTGGAGTTCTCCCTCCTTCCTTCCCTTTTCACTTCCCTTCTTCTCCTCTATGTCGTTCCTCTTCTCCTTTCGTTCCACTTCCCCCTGTTCCTTTCCCCTCCACAGTGGGCCTTCTCACAAACAGCAGTGGGAGCTGGCTCGTTTGTGAACGGCCTCAGAGAGCCTTCATCGTAACCTGGAGGAGTAAACGGGAGATCCACAGGAGCTGTCTTCCTCCTTGCCCCAGAGGTGCCCCGCCCCTGCTCCACCCCCAGGCCCCGCCCCTGCTCCACCCCTTCCCCCAAGCCCCGCCCCACCTCTTCCCACCCAGTTCCGTCCCATCCCCTCTTCCCTCCCAGCGCCTCCTGCATGCCCCGGAATAGCTGATCGCGGCAGGCGGGAGGTGCCGGGAGGGAGGGGGAGGAGTTGATTGGTGGGCGGGGAGTGGGAGGCACTGGAGGGGAAGGGGGAGCTGACTGCCGGTGGGTGCTAAGCACCCACTAATTTTTTTCCATGGGTGCTCCAGCCCTGGAGCACCCACGGAGTCGGCGCCTATGGGGAGATCTGGTTAGGGATCTCTGAGCTGCCTTTGGACTCTACTGGGTGTAGAACAAGGTACCAGCTGGATGGTGAAAGGGTGTGGATCCTCCTAGAACAAGCACAGAGTTCAAGGAGAGAGAGAAAGAGGAACCTAGTTCCGGAAGCGCCCACCTGCTTCCAAGCCGTAGTCTGCGAGGGGTTTGTTTTATGGTAGATTTGGGGAGATGCGGCTGCTCATTTTAGCTGGCTGAGGCTGACCGTGGGTCTTGGGCGGGAGCTGGCCAGAGCTTCCGGCCAGCGCTGTCTCTTTGCAGGTCTTTTCAGTGTTTGGAGTGACACTCTTTGGAAATCTGGTCCCGATGCACTTTGGAAATCTAGGGGCATCTTTGTATTCGCTCTTCATCTGCCTCACGCAGGACGGATGGATGAACATATATAAGATCTTTGAGTGAGTGAACCTGTTAGGTTTCAGACGCATCCACACATCCAGCATAGGGAAACAAGCCCCCCCCAACAGCATACTCTTGCAAGAGGAGTGCACCCCAACTGACACACATGCACACGCAAACAGCACAATTCTCTCCTCCTCCCCGCAATGCACAGACACACCCAGAGATAGCTAATGCGTGCACACGAACACACCCATGAGCAGGTAATGTAATCCATGCTAGGAGAGCGAGTGTGGGTCTTTGGGCTCCTTTCATCTCGGAGGATAAGAGCCTACTACAAGTACCACCTAACAACGTCCCTCCTTTAGCTCAGGTGGTAGAAACTGATGCCGTTCATGCTAGAGATTTGGGGTTCAGGCTCTGCTGGTGACCCATGGCGGTGGATTGTTACTTAGACACAAGCAAGCCTCTGCGATCAAACCCTTTCCTTTGTCCTAATTATTTCAAGCCAATTTGAGAGGGTCTTTAATTGTAATCCGAGAAGTGGGAAGTCTGACCCCCATGCGGGACCTTGGATGGCCTGCTTTTCCTTCCATAAGGGGGGGTGAGAGGGAAATGGGGGAGGTTCCCCCTACTTGGGGCTCAGAGGGAGATTGGCAGGACTGCTCCCCTTCTCCTGATTTGGGGCACAGAGGGGGGATGGGTGGGGTTCCCCTCTTCATAAGTCTCTGAAGACTTTACAGGAAGGTTTTGCAGAGTCTCCCTGCTGCTCATCCCCATGAATGAATTCCTTCTATCTCCGTCAGGGAAGAGGGGATCGCCCTGAAAATAGGGGGTAGCCTTTACTTTTTCATCTTCATCACGGGCGGGGCCTTTATCTGCACCAACCTGCTGGTGGCCGTGGTGACGTCAAACCTGGAGCAGACAATGCTCGCCTACGCTGAGGAGAAGCAGAAAAGAGACCAGCTCCTCCACCCCGACAAGTTCGTGGACCGGGAGGTAAGTGCCCGGCGCAGCCAGTGTGATGGCTGAATCCTGAGGCTTTTGCTCAGGTTTTGCTCCCACTAGGAGTTATACCTGAGTAAGGACTGCGTGAACATTGATGAAGGAAGAACCTCAAGATCTGGCCCTAGAGTATTAAAGCAAAGCACTGTAGCTTCAAAAAATTCAAAGATCCTGTATTTTAGGGTGAGCTACAGACCAAAACACAAATGCCCCAAAATCAACATTTGGAAATGCTGCCATGGTGCCTCATGGGAGTTGTAGTTCCGTTGCTGTATGTTCCCATTCACTTCTATGGGTTGGGCTCTCCAGCCAGACTACGTCTCCCATGACGCACTGCCTCTTCTCTCCAAAAGGGGAGCCTGTGGTGCATCATGGGAGGTGTAATCTGACCAGGGAGCCCCTTTTTTGACCAGCTGTACTACCGTCTCCTATTGGGGATGGCACTCCTGTGCTGAGAGCCAACAGGCGGTCTAGGCACTTCACTGAAGATCTGTTTTGGAGGCTTGAGGGTACGTCTACACTACAAGAAAAAACGACCAGCGGCAGCGAATCTCAGAGCCCGGGTCACCTGACTCAGGCTCCCGGAGCTTGTGCCAGGGGGCTAAAAATAGCAATATAGATGACCAGGTTTGGGTTTGAAACCCTCCCACCTCACTGGGTTTCAGAACCTGGAGTCCAGCCCGAGGGGGAAAGGCTACACACAGCTGTTTTTAGCCCTGTAGTGCAAGCTTGAGTCAGTTGACCCAGGCTCTGAGACTCGCTCCCCCGGGTCCTTTTTTTTTTTAAGCGTAGACATACCCTTAGGGACATTCCTATGGTGCCTGGAACCTGCACAGGGGTTAATTTCAACCAGGAAGTGCCCTTATGACAGCATGGCAGTGGTTGAGCGCCACCCACTCCCTTCTCTGAGCTCATCAACAAAGGTACCAAGCAGAGCTGAGCCAAGTTCCGGAATTTCTGTCCCGGGGAAATGCCGAGATGCCAATATTTGCTTGAGTCCCAAATCACGAGGCCATGTCGAAACCCCGACGTTCTGCTCGGGGTGAAATGTTCTGAAAAATTACCGCTTGACATTGTCAATCGAAATTAAACACTTCAGCCGGCTGAAAGAGAAACGTCTAATTTTGGTTCGTTGAACTAACTCAAAACCCTTTATTTCGAGCCAGTTTGACATTAAACTGCTGTGCCCTATTGTGGCGCATTGCTTCGTGGGATTTATATTTCGGGCGCCTGATACCCCCATTCTTCACTACTGGCCAGATCCCTGGCTGAACTAAATGCCTGATGATGCACCATGTGATTCCTGTGATGCACCACACAGCTAGCTTAGAGGGGAGTCCATCTTATCATCCCTCAAAGAGCCCAGTCCGCTGGAGAGAATACGCCACAATAGGGAGGTGCAGTTTAATGTTGCAGCTGGCTTGAAAAGAAAAATTTGGGGTCAGTTCAGTCAAATGAAATACTCTGATTGGGGTTGAACCAACTTGGATTTTTCCAGACAAAATCAAAAAAATTTCAGCAAAATTGACATTTTCCTGTGGAAAATTTCAGCAAAATCGACATTTTCCTGTGGAAAATGTTGATGTTTGTGGAAACTGCATTTTCTATTGGAAAATTCCAGGGGCAACAGAGGATGGATCACTTGATGATTCCCTGGTCTGTTCATTCCCTCTGGGGCACCTGGCATTGACCGCTGTTGGAAGACAGGATACTGGGCTAGATGGACCTTTGGTCTGACCCAGTCTGGCCGTTCTTATGTTCCTTCAGTTCGATGTTGGGGATGACAACTCATCTCCGGAGCTGAACTTGGTGCATTTGAAAGCAGTGATGCAGGATACTCCCATGACGCATCACCAGATGCCGCTGATCTCCGGCAACCTGGGCAACCTGACTGAAGCTACCTGTGACGATTTCTGTCTCATCTTGGAAGGGATTCAAGAGAACCTGAAACGATACAAAGAGATCCGGGATGAGCTTAGCACGTAGGTCCTTCTGCGCATGCCCCTCTCCTGTGCTGGCTTTGGGATCTCCCTGGTGGGCAGGGTCAGGGTCAATTTAGTTATATTTCACTTCATCAAAGCAACACAGGGCAGATGCAGCCACCCAGACTCCAGAGAGGGAGTCCTATGTGCCGTGGTGGGAGAGCTGAGTCCGTGATCCTGTGAGTGGCTGGGTGGGGCTCATGGCTCTCAGTTGACAGATCTTCAGGTATTAACGTTACACCCTTGAAAGTGCCATGGCTTGGGTTCTGTGGCAGGAGAGGACTGGTGGAAGAGCATGACTTTGAAACCCAGGGAAGAGAGTTGGTGGGTAAAGGGCAAAGCTCAGAGCCTTGCCCTAGGATGATTAGAGAATTGGAGGATGACAGCAGCTTGTGGTTTCGCTGTCTGTGTAAGAACGGGCTATCAGCAGTGCGGTATGGGCTATCGTAACCTTGGGGCAAGAATATAGTAACAGAACAGGTACAGCTTCCCCAAGCTGCCCTCTGCCATCATGCCTCAGCCTTACCTTGGGGATCACCTCTAGGGCATTCAGCCTCCACGGTCCATCAAGTCCTAGGCTCCTTCACTGAAACTACCAACAGGGGCCCACAGCATGCTGGTCACTGTTCGTTTTGGACCCTTCTCCACTAAACCTGTGCTGAGACCACCAAGTTCATGTCCTACAGGCATCCCTGTCACTCCTGACCTAGGACGGATGCAGACCTGCAAGGTAGAGGCGGTGGGCCCCACTGCTATCTCCTAAATTATCTAGCCCCCTGGCTGACTAGGACTTGATGAGGGGAGCTTGTAGGCTTGGGGCCTCTGGAGCAGAACTTCTTGGGTGACAGTTCTTGGTGTTAATAGCATGGAGGGGACAACACATCAGCGTCTGGCTTGGGAAATGAAGTTTGGAAGGAGATGGCCTGACCCAAAGCCAGGTGGAAAGACGCCCAGCAATTTCAGTGGGCTGTGATTCAGGACCATACTGCTTTAATGGTTGAACCTTACTGTCATGGGGTCCAGGAAAGAGAGCTGGGAGGCATGTGGTGGTGCAGTTTCCTGGGGAAGGAGAATCTGAAGTGGTTGTCTTAAAGCCCCACTCCCTATTGCCTGGAGGACGGGAGAATGGAAGACAAGGCCATTTGGGGGGTGGAAGCCC